TTTATTCTGATCGCTATAGTAAGTTGGTGGCCTGGAAACTGTAATGAGGGTACATTTTTCGACAATTCGTCACCGTCGTCACTCTCTTTTCTGACAGCCTCTGCCACTGCTGTTGCCACCACCAGCAGCGAGGTTGGCGTATCTACTACCTCTCCTCATCTCAAGCATCATCTTTGAGACCCCTCGGTCTCCCACTTGGCAACACGAATGTTCATACCTGCTCCTCTTTCTTTTCCACCACCACCGCTCCCTCGCCCTCACCTTCGCAACCCCTCTCGCCGAGGATCTCTCCCCCCTCTCTTGCAGCGCTTTCTAGAGCGAGTGAAGAGTTCACCTAAGGCTTTACTCGACATCTACCATCAATTCCAGTTAAATAGATGAACGCTAATTGCTCGTGGATTGCTATCTCCCCCGTGGAATTGTTAACACTTGATTGAGTCAAGCGGTTACCTTAATCTTTTTCTTATGCAGTAAAAATACCCAGAATTGGTAATCTTTAGTGGTTTCCCCACTTATTCCTGCTTCGGTTGACCGGAATTACACCATTCACGTGCATCCTAAGCTAGTTTCCAGGGCTGCTAGTCGCCCGTCACGAGACTTTACCGTCCTAATGGAATGAATAAGCAGATAGCTCTAGCAATGGGTACACAAACGCTCAATTCGCAATGTTATCCATGCTTTCAACACCTCCCTCCAGATTCCTGGATTTGCAGTCCGGTTGTACCTTATCATGAGCTCCTGTGCTGCTAATGCACCATTTTGGCTACAAGATTACTGCCGTTTGTCGGAATGGAGATGCCAGTTTGGTGTGCTGAATGATGATGTTGGAATTGAGCCAGGCCTAATCAACCCTAGATCAGGGAATGGAGTATGGCAGACGTCGATTCTGGAAGTTAAAGCATCTTCAACCTTTGTTTTTTACGATATCCCAAAAGGTGTTACAAGTTGAAACAGTCACCATTACGATTTACAACTCCTTAACACAAATTCAAGAGATAGCGGGTTTCACCTAAACAAGATGTTTTGCCTCTAGACATGAAACATTCCCTCTTCTACCTCTGCTTCATTTCCTACCTCTCTGTTCTCCTTCATGTGTCACCGGGAGGTTGTTTAGCGGTAATGACAACGACATTACATGATATGAGAGTTCGAGAATGAGAGGAAAGGGTTAGAGAGCATAGTAAAATACCACACCGATAGACTGATGTATATCCATCTTCTAAAACATGGTTACAAACTATCGCAAGTGTTTCACACGTCCACTGAATGAAAGTAAGCTACTTCAGCGAGCCATATTGCAAACGGCATCATTACCTTGAAGAACATACGGATTTTGAACCCAAATGATATCTCATTTAAGTCGCCTTTTCACCTACACAAGCTCTTCAGCCCCTGTACACCCAACCAAAACCCTCCTGTATATTTGTGACAGTGTCTTCAAGGCAGAATCGAGGGTCGCGCAGGCTTTAAGTGGATGAAGCACAACATATGAATCAGGTAGGGGAATTGGGCAGTCCAAAGTACACCGAGTACAAAAATGCAAATCCGATTGCTATTAAATCACAATGGCGAAATACTACGAGAAGGGGTTAAGTGAAGTTGGGACGTTCTAGCGTGCCAATAGAAGCAGCGTTCATTTTCACACGGTGTTCACCTGAAATCCTATCCAAGGCTTTTAAAACATCTTCAGCATAGAGGGGCTTTTAAGAACGGTTAAGCTATTATTAGGACAACTTGCTTCTGTTTCGGCCAAATGCACAAAGCCGACTTGGCAGGTAGTATGCAAAAATCGGTTGAAAGTGTAAATGTCTGTGAGTGATTAGGTCCACCATTCCCACTGGCAGACTTATAAAAGTTTTCGTACAATAGTTTAAGTAAATTTGAAAAAAAAGTAACTTCTTTCAACCGGGCACTATCGGAATCATCGCTAGCCGAGGTCTGCAGTCTCTAAGCCATCTGCACCATCCGCATGGCCTGCTGTGCACCTAATCACGGAACAGTGCAGCCGATTTTCTCTGTAGATGCACGCTATTACATTTTCATGACACACTTGATGAGAAGTACCTTGATTAACCTACTGCAGTGCGTAGAATTACTACAAGAGTATCTTTTTACCAGCAAGAATCGGCATTATTCCGAATTCACACTTCAGGAATTACGTCATGAAATCATGTGAAGCCGAATTAAACCAAATACAAAGTAATTTAGAACAAAACCCACCATTGTAGACACGGAAGGGCCACCGAATGACGTAGGTCTCGTCCCGACAGAACTGGCCATAACTGGTCACAGGCACTGGTTTGGCTGCATATTCTGCGATGCGCCAGATTCGCAACTGGCCGACAGTCTCCACGTAGAAGCGTCGCATGATGCCATCAAAGGGACGCACGCCTTCACCACATCCTCGACCCACGAATCGACCCTCGAGATTCAACAGATTCGCCTGCGGTGGCGGCTCTTCGAAGGCCTCCCTGAAGAGCGCCTCTACGGAGAGGCTCCCGAGATCGATGGTGGTGGTGGGTGGACATTTACCCGACGAATTCTATGCACACAAAACAATGCTATGATTGTTTCACATCACTATACAAGTAGCCTCTAGCCCTTCAACATCGACAGTCCTTGGATGATTAAGGCGTACTTAAATTGTGCTGGAATTTGTGCTGTCACTTTAAAATCGAGTGGCCGAAATCGGATAAACTGTCTGTCCAAAAAATTAAAAAACTTCCTGTTGATTTCGGTTTGTATTTACCTCGAAATGGGAAACACCACCATTGTAAACATCAACAAAGTTGTTAGCTGTGGTATTTATGCGCTTGTGATATCAAACAGTAATGAAAGGTTAAAAACTTGTTTTGCTGGATTGCCCTGAAAATTGGGCAAGGAGGGAGGGATGAAGTATGGGAGGTACTGTCTCATCCACCGAATTCCACCTCTTAACTGCTTTTTCTTGGCACTAGCATTAGCCAATCACATGATCGCATGACAGATAGAGCAGATGGTTGCGAAATGAGGGAGCAAATAGGTTATATTTTGCATTCAGAGTATCGCAACTTAAACAATCAATGAAAAACTGGACGCACTTAGTCAAACTCGGAAACTCATCCATCAGTAAATGGGATGAAAGTCCATCCTGTCAAAATAGTTTCACGTGCGATTTGCATGATGTGGCAAAAGCTAACGTCATGGCAAGAATTATTCATCAATTATGCCTCGTGCCGAGGAGCGCAGTATGTACGCGCATGGTTTCAATGAGCGGCTTCATGGCGGAAAGATATCCGGTAGTGCCACATACCCGCAACACGCCGAAGAAAAGCGTGGGTAACGCATTTTGTATGCAAATGTGTACGCGCACAGGGGTAATTTACAGCCGCCTTGGGAGCACACGCACAATACAGGTGATGAGATCGGTGCGCGTATCAGTCATTCTCAAGGCTCAAGTTACCTGAAGAACCAACTGACCTTTGCGGAGTGCTGGCGGGCAAGTTGACCGAAACGTGAGCCCTCTGGCCAATCAAGAAACTTCTCCTTAAAAAGGACAGTCTCGCCTCGTTCTGGCACCTTTGCCACCAAGGTCCAGTCTGGACGGCTGGATCCGGCCTTTGGACAGTCAATGGCTGAAGGGAGGAAAAAGTAGAGTTAAGCCAACCTGTTAATCTCATAGTCAGTAGTCAAAAAGTCGTACTCTTTCACTAGATCATACAGGCAGAAAGCAGAGGCAACTAGGCGATCGAATATATAGGCAGAGACACTTAAATGAGGATATCCAGAAGATTACCCTTGCACCACCAGTCTTTGATTGGGTTCCAAGAAAAAAGTGGCACCACATCAGCACAGATTACGTAACGCCTACTTAGTAGCAGCACAGAGCAACTTTGCTGAGAAAAGAGGGTTAATTTGGTAATGAACTTTTAGACCCATTAACTTGCTTCAAGACGTGATCTCGGGACATGATATAATTCTAGAATTTTGAGAGGGAGACAAACTGATCACATGGAAGATAGACGACCAGATTAAATCAACGTGAAATGTATTTCCATTAATCCCTAAACCATCGGCATATTCGTGAATCAGCGTATCCTGTAAAAAATAACCTTAAGCTAACCCGTCAAGGGAATTTAACTCGAGAAGTTCACACATCCGCTACCGGCATTGGACGTGCGACTTTCCGGCCTCTTGTACAAGTCAGGTGACGTGTTAAATGAATTCTCCACCTGTTTAAAATACCTAGTTCTGCCGAATGATACTACAAACGGATTAGCGAATGAATCTATAACAGCAAAATAAAAATGGAATGTTGGTCGTTTGAAGGGCAAGTGAATTGAGTACGGAAACTTTGTGATGGTAACTTCCCTCCCGAGACTCTGGTAGCAAGTATTAAAATTTTTAAGAAACCAAGACTGGTGGGTCTAGTGGAACAAATTCTTCGCTTACATGGGGGATTGAGATGCTGTTTGAAACATTATTTACCATCTAGAGGATTGAGAGGACTCGTATTACACATTGAATAGTCATATGGTTCGGAGTAGAGTTGTTGCACCAACTCAATTCCTGCAGCTCGTATCTTCGTGGAGATTTGATTGCCCGTCCACAGGTAGACCTCCGAGCCAAAGTCAAACACAAAAGCCTGTAAAATAGCAAAAAAAATCATCATCAAGCTCACAGTAACTTTTATTTCCCAATCTGCCAAAAAAATAGACAAGTACTTTTGCGGAAACGAGCATAGAGTGGCGAAGAGGCGTTCCCCAAACCTCCGGCAGAGGTTCAAGGCGATCTTCATATACCTCAAAAACTCGATTTGCGTGCTGCACGACGACCTCAAATATCAGATCCTCTTCCTGCGGTCCACCAGCTGAAAAACGGATTGAAAGGCGCTACGGGATACATAATAAGGCAAACGCTTTACGTATGAGTTGCGACGGGCTTACAAATTTATGTCATTCAAAGGGGGAATAACTGAAGATATCACATCCAGACACCAATTTTGTGATAAATCGCGAAACCACTTCACCCTAGGGCACTTACCAGGAGCCTTAAATTGCTCTACCGAAGTACCCAGCGTGGCATAGAAGGTCTCAAGTTGACCCTTAGGAACACCAGTTGCCTTTTCCTCATCGATGGGGATGAGAAACGGTTCCCGACCGCCCGAAGGGAATCCAAGATCATGCGTCTTGATTATCCATGCAGCAATATCGCGTGCTTTGTTGGTCTCAATTACATTCGCGTACTGTCCAGTCCAGAGGTAGAGGGAGTTAACTTCAGGGAGTAGGAGAAGAAAACAGTCCCCAGAATTGAGCGATGCCGCCACTGGGGCGACAAGGCGTGTCTGCACTTGCCGACGTCCTTTGGCAGAAAATAATATACGTTTAGCTATCCGGAGATCTATCACCAACAAGCGGATGATTTAAGGGCAAATTACCTTTTACCAAAAGCAGCATCACATCTTTGTGAGGTAGGAGACTTCTTTGAAAAGAGGCGAGAGGCGCCTGCTTCTCCTGCGCCACAACTCGAAGGCGTTCCTTAGTAGAGGAGAAATTTTCCACACTGGCTAAACCGGCCAGAACAGACTCGCTGAGATGAGCATTCATGTCTGGTAGGTCTTTTAGGACAAAAAAAAACATAAATGCATTAGAACCGAGGTCGACTAGGGCCTGAAAGATGGGTGATTGATACGACCTTAAACAACAATGGCAGTAGGCTACTTCAATAAGTAAAACAGCCAGTCTGGGCGATTTTTCAGTGACATTTAGTGATGATTTACACTTGAGGAAGTTGCGAATGAGGTTATTTTTACTTCCATTACACGATATTGGTCCCGGGCTTTGAGGTTAAGCGGGGAGTAAGCATAGCGGAGATTGGGCTCATTGCCCATATCCTCGGTTAAGATGCTTAGAGCTGGCATTGAACCTTCTTCTTGAAAATTAATCGACTTTAGCGGGTCAAATTATATTTGGAAAAGTAGAGAATAAAGAACACAATCGAGATTAAGTAACCAAGCTACGATGGACTAGAAATGTGAGTACATGTGTGGATCAAGGTTCACGAGGTGTCTCGTGAAACCGTGGAGAAACACAGAACTAGTGTTTATTTGGCGACAATTCGGTCAGTTTTGAATTAACAGCAAAAGTTTGCATTCACGTTTCATCAGCTGCGAATACGAAATACGTTTACCCGCTACCTAGAGAGGTTCGATGGAGGAAATTCACTCACGATTCGAAAAGAATGATGATTGCAAAAATTTGACCACATCATTGCGGATACTTAAAATAACCTGGTACCTTCCTTTCCCCTCTATCTATCCTCACTAGCTGAAATGCAACTGAAACTCAGGTACTGAACACGCATTCGCGTGCTTCTCAGGCGCCGGCGCCTTCAAATTGCATCGTGACAAAGCATTTGGGGTAGTGGATACGGATAAGTACATAAACTCCCGTTGCAATGTAGCGTCAATGAAAAAAAGCTTTCCTGCTACTTTTGCATTGCATTCGGCACATCAAGGTGACGGGCTCCTTACACATACGTCTATTACAGACTGAATGTTGTGATTCTTATTGAAAATTCTTGACTGAGTTCTGTGCTAGTCTTTGAAAGCCAAAATGTAAATAACCGCTCTCCAGTATAAACACCGACTTGCCCTCCTTATCCACAGATTAAAGATCCTATTTCCGGGGGAAGTAGTATCATCAAAACCGTTCTCAACGATTTTGGTGCTAGCTTTGCCACATAAACGAATGAGAGTTCTTTTTAGAATGGAAACGAAAACCACTAACTACCTGTCAACTAGTGACCGTCGCAAACCTTGAAGTTTAAGTAAACAGTTTCCGGTACTCTTTTCACCACTGCGGAAACGATAATATGAACTCGCCCAGTATGTACCATGTCAAACTCAATGAGATAAAATCGGAGGATTAAACTACGCAGACAGACCAAAAAAACCGAAAAAAAGACTTCAATTTCCAATGGCGAGTTGAAGTAAATAAATGACTGCTGGTAAGTATGACTAACTACAGAGAGGGCCTTCCGTTTACATTATGGTTGAGTGGCAGGAGATGAGTATTTCACACAAACACACAAACACGCACAATCATACTTGTGTGTTGTGTTTCCACTTGCGTGAAATGGAATTACTACACCGATCATCGCATCACACTGGTAAACGGATTTAGACCATCTATGCAGGCAGACACACACTCAGTGAAGCACCGCCCATTCATTCAACTACTAAATCAGTCGCATTAGGGCTGCTGAAATGATGACATCTTGCTTCATTGAGGTAAATATTTACCATTGAATTCAAAAGGAGTGAACCGTGTCCATTAACATCTTCACTAACAGCTGTGCCCAAGTCAACACAAGGAGAGGTTAGTTTAATATCATTTGGGGTCATCGCATAATGTGGAGGGCGATGGTGGAAACAATTTTGACCTCCTTTCGATTGGAGGGCATCGTCGGTTGCAGGAAACAGTTTTAAGGGAATATTTTGGACTGGTTCTTAAGCCATCCTGGCTTTATGCGCCAGAAGTGCTGCACATTTTACAGGGGCGCCAAGTAACGTCACTTTCACCTTTTTGGAAGTGCAATAGCATTAGGAAAGAATAAAGTACTCAGTGTTTTCTAAGTCACGCCTCATCGAGGGATACCGTTACACAATGAAATTGCCGAGTCCGTGCCTTTAGCTTGCAAGCTTTATGTCTCATAGTAACAAATCCAGGGAAAATGTACGGTAAAACTAACGGAATATGACATACTGGTCGCAGGGGAGGAGAACCCCAGGACTCCGGTAGCTCCAGCCAATCGCTGACAAGGCGTAACCTGTTGTCGGGTCGACGCGGCACTGTCAGTCTCACCAGGTACTTTAACATGAACCTCCTCGTAAGAGTCCTTCAGTCCGGGAGTTTCGTTAATTCGTCGCACTGGATTCCTCGATTTCGTTGATGGACGAGAGGAGGGCCCCGCCGAGCGCTTGAATTGCACCAAACTAAACCGATAAACAACCATTTCATCAGTAGAAGATGGGTGACTGCCAACCGGTAAAAAACGCTCAATTTGGATGATAACGCAAAAGAAATAGATCAAAAGAATAGTCAAACCCAACCGAGCGGTAAGCGACTTAGCCACTCACCTTAGGTAATTCTTAACTCTTCTGATGAACGAAAGACCAAAAGTGGTAACAATTATTTAAATGAGATAACTGACTCAAGGCGCCGTCCGGCTAATGTTAGATTTACATACCACGTAGACCATGGACATGATGAATACAAAACACATGAGAAGTTAACAACCTGTGAGAAAACCGCAAGGTCGTCCACTTGTATGAAAAAGACGTACCCAAGAGTGGTTTCAGGAAGCTGGACGCTCGATAACGAGGTGGGATTCTGTAACACCGCCGAACTGACACCTTGCTCGTTTTTGAGTCCAAAGAACTGGTCAACAAACTCTTCGTTCATTTTCGCCACTGGAACAGTCTACATGTGAGAAGAGGAAAGGTGCCTCAAATTTCTGTGCAGTGCCTGTTAGACTGCTTTGAAAATCCCCTACCAGAAGAAAGCCTGAGTTAGGAAAGAGGTTTTGTAATGAATATTTCAGGAAAAAATACATTTTTTATGTCACAAAACGTGATGAAATTGCTTTACTCCTGAAAATTCGTCACCAACAAATAACTGTGGGAACAAGCATTGAAGAGATGTATAGCTCGACATTGGGTCCCACGTAATGCTTTGACAGTTTGTTTATCTCTGCTTGTGACTACGCGGGTAGATTGTCATGCCGATAACCTCGGATCTTCTGTACTTTGGTGGCATACCTCCTTCCATACTACTATGCCTTCTTACGACTTCAGGAAAGACCGGGAGTGCTAGATCCCATGTCACTACTTCTAAAGAAGTTGAAAGAAATGTCAAATTTGGGAACAGCTTTGCATCTATGGCTGGAAACCAAGAATAGGGTCGGGGGAATACGCATTACAGCATCTTCTCGGAATCAGCGAAATCCATCAAATGCTCAAATTTGGAGGGGACTCTTTGATTGAACTAGTGGTTAAATAATGTCGGATAACATCGGTGGGATAAGACATGTTGCAGAAGGGGCCACTACTGTGACATGTAAAACAGTCAACTTTAGGTCATGTGAATAAAGAATGTGAACGGTGGGTAAGTAATCGAAAGCAAACTCAAGGCGGGGATGCGCGTTGTATTTTAGGTGGGCCAGAAGCGCATTGAATGTGCGGAGAGGCGGAAGTTGGCACTGACGATCCCAAAGTGGAATAAACGCCTCACTGAACTCGGTACTTAGGAGTTGAGACGAACCATTCAAAAAGACTATGCAAGTAAGCGAGTTTGTATAAACGCTCCCTGAACTCCTATGTATTCTATGAAGCGGAGCAATTTCACAGGGTTAGAAGTAGATAGTTTGTTAGCGCAACCCCAAATGACCTCAGCAACCATAGGAATGTGAATGAGAGGGTAAAAAATTTACATCAAATATAAAATAATGAAAAAAGATGGGAGAAATTGATTAAAACTCTCAGTTGAAGAAGGGTATCATGACGTAGGGAGTTTCGTTAGACTGAAAGGAAGGATCACATTGACATCCGTTTAATGGGTTCCCAAATTGCTATACCATTAGAGTCAGATGTGATCAGGAACCTATGACTGGAATCGTAACAAGAGTTTGGGGGAACTCCATCATTGTACAACCATGTACACACAAGTGCAGGCTGGCTACGCAATTCCAGTGCCCTAAAATTTTGGTAGCTATTTGAATGAGAAAAAGGCAAATGTTTGTACAGAACAGAAGAGATCACGAGTACTTTCCGCCGCGGGAGATTCGGGATAAAGTAGCACACAATGGACATTAGGCACCTCCTTTGACAAGGCCTCAACACTCGAGGTCAAAAAAAGGGGGCAAAAATTTGGATAAATAGGTGAATTAGACAGGAATAATAAAATATCCAGGTACTAACCTTTTTAATAACACTCACTTCGGACTCATTTTCCTTTTGTTGCCCGGTAAGTGTGAAAAGCTTCGACTCTGAAAAAGGAAAGTTTTACATTTCTGTCAAAAGTGAGGCACTCCTAGAGCGCCCCTCATGACAGGCCTAACAGGTAACTTTACCAACTTCAAAAGTTCTTCGCATAACACGTTTCTGTGGCGTCCGTGCCGGTTCGATAGAGGGCAATTTCTCCGCCGTTCCTGGGGGACCATCTGGCAGAGATAAAACGAGGCCATATTGGCGGCGTTTAAGAAGAAACAAACTCCACAAATACATGCTGCCAACAAGGAAATGAGTGCAGAGAGTGCAAAGTGGAATCAAATCTGGTACAATCGCAAAAGAAATCATTTTGAAACCAGAGTAACTTGTTATGTGTAAGTCCACCATATCACATGACAAAGGGGAATGACAGGTTATCGTGTACCTCAGAGTATTGCATTGCCTTCAAAATTTGATAAAGTACTTAGAAGAGCTGTCGAACATCACACAAGAATGACGAAAGCCACTTTGTCAGCTTTAGAGTGAAGGCTGAGCTAAGTGTGGGGAAGGGAGGAGGGCCTCAATAGAAGGCCAATGAATCATCGAGGCGAGATGGAAAGATCCACGACTACATCAAAGCAGTGATGCCTCAGCAGCGCCAGAAGCATTTGCACACACACACACACACACAAATCTGAGGCGTTCAAGACAACTCACTATCCGTAAACTCATAAAATGTGTGACATCGTGGGCTTTTTGTGAATAAATTTCGTCGAAGAACCACCTCTTCTGAGCCTAAAACAGTGAAGAATGGATAAAACAAGGCTTTGAGAAGTAGACTCCATCCCATGCACCATGCGAGCGCATGCGGATGAAAAAGGGACGAAGAAGTTTTCTGAGTCCCTTAATAGTGGAAAATTCTACCAAAAAAAGTTTGTTTGCTGAAAATTGATGGCATTAACGTGGTTGATCGGGAGGTTTGTACAAATCCCTGCTTGCTTGGAGTAGGCAAACTGCTTGCATTAGCAAGAGGAAGGGCATACATTAAGGCGAACTGCTTCTTGTGTTAGTTTAACAATCGCTTATTAAGAGGCAGTGATAAAAGAGAGGATTACAGGGAGTCCGCTTTCCCGTATCGTTGTCCTGAGTGACCACACGTTTGCGCCACTGCTCTTGGCTCACGGCAAGGTCGTTGCGGATCTGGTTGACGCTCTTCAGGGGTGTGGCTTCGTTCTCACAGCGAGGCCGGCCGCGTCGCTTCCATTGCTCACTGTTCTCCTGAATTTTGGCGATCCTAATGCGGTGGAAATAAATGTCTAAATAACTAAACCACACAAAATCAAGCTGACGTTGAATTAACACATTCAAGATTAAAAATCCAGAGTGGGAATTACACGTGGGGTGTCCTAAAAGCGGGCATCAAGACAACGAGAACGGAAACCTCAAATAACTGGATCAAAAGTGACGTAGAGTAGTGAAAATTTGCAATCAGAGGCTCAATCTGAGCCTGGTAATTCTTGCTGAGGCAAATTTAAAACATACGAAACATGACATGTGATATGATGTTAGTCGTAAAGTATCAAAAAATCCTCTCAAATTCCATAAACCTTAGCCAACTGCATTAATTGGTGCTTTCTTTCACTAGCTAATGTGTGATCCAAAACACATTCATCTTAATTTCAAGCCTTTGAAACAACAATAAGAGGGCAGATTCTTATTTGTTGGATTCAAATTCCATAAAAAAAAGTCTTGAACGAGGATTTAAGTTAGTAGCCCTCTTAAATTTAACGCAAAACTAGCTGAGAATGTTGGTTGAAGCAAAGCGTCATGCGGCTAGGCTCCGGAAAACATGTCAACTTTCAGTGAATATGGACGAAAAACCGGAATAACCGAGGATTGACAATGGAGAACCGTGCATTAAAAGTAGGTCGATACTCCACGAAACCATTCAAAAACTCCCGATGGTGCAAATATTCGTCCATTAAATGCATGGATAAAAGGGCTTCGAATTACCAGTGGATTTGAAAAGGCCTCACCTTTGAGAAATAGACATTTGTTCACTTCTCTCCTGTTCTTCAGTGTTGTCAACGTGCACACAGGACAGGGACTTGACAAGTTGTGGCGTTGAGTCAAAATCCTCGAGAGTGGAATGACAGGGCTGCTGACTGCGCCTCCATGTCTGATCGGCAAGTCTGAAGAGAAATAAAAAACCAAGGCTGAAAACACCGCGGTAGGATTGGCTCACACCGGTGAGCGAATCAAAATTGCGCATAGGCCTCTGTGTGGTTCAACTTCACCGCGCACCCTGCATGCGAGATTGCCTATTGACTGGTCACGTGAAGGATCTATAGTGCGCACGTGAATGCTAGGCCTCACATGTCAACCGAGGCGTGCGTCACCACTCAGGAGGGTGATTGGACGAAATCATACACTAATTATTTCACGACTCTGCAGTAGTAGCCAATAGCTTTGCGAGTTCATCGTGATGAGGGAGGTTTAATTTTCCACCAGACGCCATTTTTCTCTGGCGTGTTGTGCTTGTGGCGTTTTTTTTCGTGAATACCATTGTTACAGATAGAGGGTGTAAATCAATTTCACAAAGAAGGGGCAAGTAAACACATTTAGGTGCACCACAGATGTTTATTTTCTCACAATTCGTAGCCATTTCTAGTCAATTTGCATATAAATCATCATTCGTTAAATAGGGCCATTTTTTCTTCCAAACCTGGTTACGATCCATAAACGCTTGAGGGATGATTCAGTTTCAAAATAAATCAGGATTGGTGAGTAATGGTGTGGGGATGTACCACCCAGTTTCAAAGGTCAAAACTCCAAAAGCCCCGATTTTAAGGATAAAAAATATCTATAGATTGCATGAGAAATGTCTCATTTTTACAGCGCTGTGGCCATCTTTCGGGCGTATCCCAGGAAGTGTTTACCGAGAGCTTGAAAGGCATTTAAATGAGGCGATCATCTGAAATTGTCATGCATTTCTGCAGGATGTTGCATCGTCTATTTAGATCCACTTTCACTTTTGGTAACATCCTGTTGAGGTCTCTATACTTAACTGGATAATAAACATAATATGAGTTATTCCTCTAATAAAAACAATTTTACTGTTGAAATGCGCCATAATCTGCCCACTAGCTGTCGATTCTACCTGGCAGATTGCAAAGGTCCTTCTCATGGCAAATCAACGAGACCTGTATTCACCCTAGCCAATACTCTATCTGGGAAAGTGAATTAAAGACTAAACAATAAAAATAAAATGCCTTTGGCGTAATGGCTTGTCGTGCCTTTTTCTATACGAGGCCTATCACTCGAACCGCGATATTGTGGGGAAGTCTGCCTAACTTTTTTCACTTCACCTCCTGAATAGACCCACTTTTTGTTAAAATTTATGCACACGTTGGCGTCAGAAGTCAGTTAAGGCAGATTCTTTAACTCACCGATATTTGAGCCTTCGTCGAACAGCGGGGTTGGAGGGCAGGAATGTCAATTCCTCTGCTTCGGTTGCTTTCCTATTTACAGCCTCCATTGCCTTCAAACGCTCCGCCACTGAATGACATTCCTCCTCTTTCGCTCTTGCGCATAGATCCATCAGTAGAATACTTTGCCCGAAAAATAAGGCAGCAGCTTCAACCAGGGGCCAAAATTTTCGGATAGTCCCAACTCCTGACCAATCAGGCTGCAGCCGTGAACTGACCAATAGCCTCAAAGGAAAGTCTCCCAGGTTTTGCCTTCATTTTTTGAAAAGTGAATATTCCAATTTGAATTTAATTTTCTTCCACACGAAATCATTAGGATTTGTTGAAGATAGACAAGCAAGTTTGTTGACCCGAATGGTGATCATTTAACAAACTGGTTTAATGATTTATCTGGAGCAATTATGCCTATACCAACTCCATTTCCGTCAATAACTCAGCAGCTTCTAATGCCACCCACCTCGCATCAAGCATAGTTTTTACCTGTCGAAGATCATTGTTATCCCAAGGACTGGACTTTACACGAGTACACTACGCCTACAAGCTGCTGTGTCGCATTTCTTGTCAGTCTATTTAAAGCGAGACCCTTGAAACTTGCACTATCGGAACGCGTTACTTGGGGACAAATCTCATCAGCAGTTGGATGTTTACAGCACCTGATTTTCCTGCAAAACCTCTTTTTGTGTCTGCATTCCTGGGTACTGGTAAAGACTAAGCGAATAAACAAAGGAATGAATGAAATCCCACCAGCTCTTCATCAAAATGTGATAACTGTATCAGCTGGGTCCTGTTCGTGCCTTCCAAATACAGCCACACCAAGGGAAGGAGTTGGGACTCTCCGAATCGGGAAGGCAGTACGCACGTGTGTTGTCTTTATTACACAAGACAAAATATATATCGAGATGCAAGTATGGCAATCTACAAGGGACAACTGTGTTAATGCCAGTGCAGTAAAGCTCTAAGTAAAATGAATACTCCTGGTAAAAAAAGCGGGTCTCTTGTAGATGAAATTTCTGTCCTCCTAGAAGATTCTTACTCCACGGGGTTTCGACGGTGCCTGGGCGTAGACCAATTCTGAAAAGTCGCTATTCACACTAGCCGCTGGACTTGAAAGGCAGGAGCCAATCTCCAGGTCATCCTCCTTGAAACTTTCCATTGGAGACTCTAAAATACCCCCAAAATCGACGATTATCAGTAACCTCTAGAGGCGATGGAACACCTCAATAGCCAAGCTGAACTTCTTGACCTGGTATAATTGCACCACGGCCCTCCAGAACGCATTGGTTCACTCGAGCAATATCATCAAGGGTGATGGGTTGAGTTTTGCGACGTTGCATAGCTGCTCGTTCTAACTTGACGGGTCTTCCAACACCCGATCGTCGTGAAAAGAGGTTGCTTTTTTCCTTCACTGAAAGCCTTCAATAAAAGACATGGAATGCATTTTAGGGTGGTACCTTCGCAATCGTGTAATGTACTTTCCATTTTACCAGACACAATGTTCATGTTGGAACTGGAAATGCATACCACTATTAGTTGGGAACTATCATGTTAAAATCTGTGCAGCAGATAGTAATAATAGCATTATCATGCCTGATTACTAGAAATCCTGTTTAGGATTCCGCAGGATGTAATACATAGATGGCTAGAGCTCCTTCAAAGCAGCTTCCTATCCAGCAGTGTTTGAAGGTACACGATCGAGAGAAGTAGAAAAGTTCTTACTTGGTCAGCGGATCACCTTGAAGCACTTGAGGAGAAAGCGGACTAGCCACGATAGTTCGTTGATTGGGGGGCTTATTGTTCAACCTTATCTGTGTTTTGGGTTTCACATTAGCAGAAAAGGACTGTTCCCTAATCCTTCGATTTCTTTCCTCCTCAAATTCGTCATTCAATTTCTTTTTTGCGGCTTCATTCTCCTCCACCACTTGACCAGTATTGAAAGCCCGGACACGCTCCTCCACAGGTACCAACTCGTCACCGCAAGCAATTAGATCCTGGTCGACAAAACCGCTCTTACTCCTACCCATCTCCTCCAGCTGTCGCTCCTGTTGCCACCGTCTCGCTCGATCGATGACCGATACTACACTACTGTCTCCCGCTGCCGTGGAGATGATCCGAAGGTTCTCACTCTCTGGCATACTTTTTGATTTCATTGTTTTACTTGCCAGTGTTCGACGGTTGACTTTCGACGGTGCCAGCTTAAGCCTCTCCACGTATTCGCATAGGGGGTTGCTTTGTGGCGGATTGGGAGTGGTTTCTCTAGATGAAGTGAAACGCACCTGCTGCTGGTGTTGCTGTTGAGTTGGCTGAAGAAACGTCGGAGTTGACAGCTTCTGCGGCTCTCTCAACGGGATTTTGTGCGCCTCATGCGATTGATAGAGTTGGGGACTGCTCTGCTTAAAAATCGACTGAACGCTCCTTGGTGGTGATCGTTGGCAGGGTGCCGCTTGTGGAAGTAGTCGACTGTCTGTCGAGACTGTGAGAGGCTCGGAAATTGATTGAGAATTGGGCTCTCTAGGTGTTATTGCTGAGATAGACATGGCAATGGTCGCTGCTGGTGATTCTCCAGGAGGAGGCTCTTCAGTTGCTATTGTAGGAGCAGTTTCAACCGGATTTTGAGGCACTGCCACCATAGGAGCCTGCCAGGCAGAGAACTGCGATTGTGGCTGCTGTTGTTGTGGTGGTTGATGTTGTGGCGGTGCTGCTGGAAGTAAGACTGAAGCTGGCTGCTGTACAACAGCGACTGGTCGTTCTTGCTGTGGCATTGTATTCGCTGGCTGTTGAGGATAGAGCTGTGGTTGTAGGGGTGTCTGCAAAACAGCAAACGGGGGAAAGGGAACAGCAGCAGGTTGGAACTGTGGCAGGAAGTAGGACTGTTGCAAAGGCTGTATGATGAAGGTTCTACCACCCAAATCACCACTAAGTAGTGCTTGAAGGGCCGAGGGATCCTGCGCGATAACAGCGAATGCTGGTTGGTTTGTCTGCTGTAGTTGAGTTACTTGTTGAAAGGAAGGTGCTGAGTAAGCTAGAGGTTGTTGAAGTACCGGTGCAGCAGCCGGAATGGGTTGGGGATCAGTTACGATTCTTGTAGGGGTGGCCGATCTGGCTTGACGAGGAAAACCATTCTGTGAGGCAGAAGAAGTGGGCTGAAAAAATGACGTCTGATTCGAGACCGGTTGAACCCCAACAGGAACTAGAAAATTTTAAAAAGGATGAAAATATTACTTCACAGCAGTTTATGCGAGCAAAGGGGATGGTTGGAAGTTTGTGTAATACTTTACCATTAGAATATATGCTACCAGAAGAGTCGAAATGGGATTCTGCATGCCGAATTACTAACAATTCTCTTCCCCCTTTCGGAGCTAGTGAAAATGGGCTTTGGACTAGCCATTTCTTTTCACATTTTGATCTATACTTTTTGGGTGCGCTAGGAAAGCCGACCACTCATTGCAGCAAGAAACTCGCTTCGCTATTACGGACGGCAACGTAGAGTGGCAAATAGGAAGGCAAGTTCCTACTTTCGAGATCCCAACAAACACATCAGATGATTGACTAAATCGTTAGATGGAACTGAGAGACAGCTACTATAATGCAAGCAGGGCAAAATGCTGATGTTTTTGTCCATACAATATTTGCTATCATCGGCTAATTCAAATTAGGGAAGCAGAACCACAAAGAGGTTCTAGTAAAAACACAAGCCCTCTCCCACAGGGCTAGTCACAGTCCCAAACACAAAACATTTTGTCGTTTTGTTCCAAAAAAAACATGCCTTGATCGGTAGCTGGTTTATTCCAAGGTCACTGCTGGATCACGTTATTGGACAACCAGTGTTAGCAGGTGGTGTACGTGACACTGCGCTAGCATAGCTGCGGTTGATGTATGACTCCCCTAGAGAAAATTTACATCACTATGGGTGCCTAGTTATTCTAGCACCAATTTATGAGTAGTTTCTATGTCACAGATTTTATTTTGAGTGAACGAGCTGAATAAAAGTGCTAACTATGACCTTCTAAAGGTACCAAATATGACTAATCAAATAGCTACCCACCTCTGTGGTAAACTTTTCCTGTCACGATTTTTTGTGAGGAAATATACATGCCTGAATAGTGCATAGCCCAACCAACTTGACAACAGTGTGGGCTAGGGAAGGTTTCACCCAAGATAGTAAGGCGAGGTGTACGACACTACTTATATTTATGAGTAGGAATGCAGTACGTATTAGAAATCCCCTTTAATTGGGGAAAACAAGGCATTTCCAACCTCAATTAGGCAGCAAAAGCAAACCCATTGTACGGTCGAAAGTGTTAAGAGTAAGTCCATTTTGTTTTAAAGTTAACCATTACGACCTGACTCATCTACCTGAAAATAAAATGTAGGGGTATCTTTTTAATTCAGAGCAATGAAAAACGGAAGTACTAAATACCAGAAAACGCTTTTCTACAACATTAATTTATCTCAGTTGCTTGGCCGACCATCGAAATAAGTATGCACTAGTCAAATTCGCTCATATAATCGAAAATAACACAGTACAGGTGGGTACTGATTAGGAGGTACAAATATGCGTAGCGTTTGGTGAAATAAAAAATACAGGTAAAAATTGGGTTCTTCAAATAATTTAGGATAAGGCAAAGTTTACTTGACCTGTCGTTTACTTCAAAATGTTCAGAAAACAATGTAATTTACTAAAATAGTCGTAAATCCAATAAACTGGACTACGATGTCTGTCAGACTGCAGACTTTTGACAATTCAATAAAATATGAAAAGATGCCCCCTAAAAGTAAACCGAATGGGTAGATTTTGAAGTGGAGGATCATACGCATTGCATTTTTGCCAAATGATTGATGTCAAGCCATTAAATGCAGAGGAACGCCTATTAGTACCAGTGGATGGAGGCATCAGTTGCAGATTTTCCTTCCAAAGTTCAAGTACGTGGTTGAAGGTAGGCAGTAGCATATTCCTACTTTAGCTCCCAAAGAAAGGTGACATTTGGCGTTGCCCACTTGAGGACCAGATATCGTCAGAGCATCGCAGCTAACTACTTAGTGGCATAAGCAGGGCGGTCGTAGGTTTGCTTAGAAGTCGCCGCGGAGGATAGCAAGAATATGCTGCTTCTGCGACGCCATTGAAAACACTTCCAACGAGTAAATAGAGTTTTCTTGTTCAAGAACATCGTGGGAACTTTCCAGCACCCACCATCAACTCTATGTTTACGCAGTCGTGAGGTAAAGGATAAACCCGGGCAATCGTGGCAGGGGAATTCGTTTTCTCGATCCAGACAAGCATTAAAATTCTGGATACACAAGGCTTAACAGCTAAAATGTACATACACAGACCGCCTCCACTTCAAAACGACATTGCACAGAAAATCTGATGATTTTTTCATTGTGGTCGAAATGTGGCATGAGTTTTTGCACAGGAGTCGAACGACTTACATCCAACGCGTTTGGAAGCATAGCTTACTCTTCGTCAGGGTTCTAATGGTGGCAAGCCGGAATCTCAAAGATTTAAATTAATAAATTTACGCAGAACACAATTTACACACTCGCTAGCAAGTAAATGGTGTTTAGAAAAATACATAAACAATAAAGAACCAACGTCAACCTTATAGGCCAGGGCTCTATAGACAATAGTCATAAATTCGGTTCTGCAAACAGTTTTTTGAACAATGTTTTTTAAACAGTGTACAGGTCCTGAGCACCGCCTCACAAGTTCAGATGCTGCGCTTAACTGTTGTAAAACAATGAGTTATTATTTAGTTGCAAAAATCGAATCCAAATTACGAAGACTTTGATATTTGCATGCAATCCAAATAGTTGTGCGCCATAAATAACGAAATTTTACCGTTACTATGAGTCACAAACGGCTATTGCTAAACTTGTATAAATTTTCTGGTAAAATCCAAAAAAGGTACATATCAAATTATTTTCAAGCTATTTTATACATTAGTTTCGGAACCATCAATATTTTAATCAGAAATTTAGTTGATATCTTTACCTATTATAATAAATAATAAACGTTAATTTCGCCATCATTATGATTCATTTATAGAGTTAGTCTGTAAATTTTTGTTTTTTTAATGGCCAAAACTTTAAACCCACGAAAACCCCCTAAAAATCGATTTTTAATGAAGTAAGCATCACTGCATTTATAATCATTTCGTGACGACATCTACCTTTAGGAGGTGCCTTAAGCTTCCAATTGTGCATGTCGCGTGTGACTATCCTATCCAATTAAAAGGTGCAAATGTTCACTTGGAAAAAAGACAATTAATTAAGAAAACATGACCGAAGAAGTTAGGGACGATGGCGATGAGATTGTATATTCCTCTTCCCCACGTACGCACCCATGTTTTGCACAATTGTGAGGCGGCCAGTGGGAAAGCAAGGGACTTATTTGTGCATAACTAATGTTTTTTTTAGAAAAAATTTGACTGTAAGTCCAAAAAAGCCACTGTTCACGATGACTTGAACCCTAGCCAGCTGACATTTTTACAATATCATTCCTTGGCCACCGTGAGTGATACAACATTCCCTTTCCACTTGATGTCACCATTAGCCAATCATTTCGTGAGTGTCCATTCTAAAATTTTGTTAAAAGTGTCAGTCGTAACATGTATTTCCTTCTTATTATTATCAGTAATAGAGACTGAACATGGTTAATACATATTTGAAGGATTTGTCAACAAATCTAAACTTTTTGAACTACTACTGGATGGTCGATTCTGCTGGCTGACTTTTCTTCCTAACCAAGGTGTGATTCATCCCCAGCACCGCACCTTTAAATTATTTCCAAGCGAAGTGCCCTCCAAATGTCATAGTAGGAATTCGATGGGACGTTACTGAAGCTTTAAACTGGCAGACATCATGTTTTACAATGCATATAGCATATAACAAGCACTCGACTTTTCCCTACAGGGTGAGATAAGTAATTGCTTCGGGCTAGACGAAGAGCCATAGGAACTTTTTTCAGGAAAGGCGAGGATATGTAATTACACAAGCAAAATAGTGTCCTTTACTTACTGGGGCTAATTTCCACAGTCTGAGCCGCGGGAGACGCAAACCGAACCCGTGGGCTACCAGTGGTCCTTGACCCAGTCTTCATTGTAGATGCAGTCGTCGTAGTTGTAGCGATGACGTTGCCGGTCTTCGTTGAGCACGGTTCTGTAAGAGCGCTGTCGATGGGACTCCTTCGGGGGATGAAAACGCTGCCTGGTCGGGCCTGCTTCATTACCGTCTGGGCTCTTTGAGGTGCCGGTGAGGAGAGAACTTCTGCGCAGTGGCGAGGAACAACAAAGGAGGCTTCGGGGCTCACAATTTGGGCCGATGCGTAGGCCTGCGGTGCTGGCTGCGGCGGTGTTGGGGACGCCATTTTTGTGGACGGAGACGCCTCCGCGGCCACATTGGCCTGTTTTATAAGAGGTGCTTTCTTAGTGAAAGCTATTCCAAACGAGGGAGGGACGAAATCTTGGTTGGGCACCGTCATTGCTCGGGCCAGTCGATTTCTAAAATGAAGCAAGCAAATCTTGGTACTTTGGAATCTCATTGGCCAAAAGGTAGATTTTTTAGTGGACAGTCAGAAATGAAAAATATTCCTCAAATAACATTTAGGAATTCGGTGCGAATGGGTGAGATACGGAAAAGGGCACCAGTCTAGAGGCACCAGTTGTATAAACTCCACCATCGTGGTCAGTGCCTAATTAACTTGGAAGGTAAATGGGACGCACGGCTAAGTAATTCGCTAGAAATCAGGTACGTACTGATCATGCATTGACTGGGTTGATTTTGCTTGGGGACTTTTAAAACCTATTCAGCCTCCCCTTTGCAATGGCTGCCTATTACCGGTGCTACTGACATACTCATTTCAGTAGTTGTGATTACTGCCAATACCTCTGCCTGCGTGGAGAGATTTTAAAGGAAATCATGTCTGTGCGCTCGTCTATTAACAGCAAGCAATATAAATAGAACAGAAACATTTCCAAGACTTAATCATCACGGAATTTATCTGGTCTGCCGCTTTTCTGCCAGAAGAAATAGTCGCTATTTTGAGGTGCGAATTCACATAAAGGTCACAAGAAATGGGGAATACTGTCATTTTTTGGCTGACAACTATCTAATGCAGTTGGCATTCACCAAGCCTGCTTTAATGTGATTTTGAAAATCGTCCTTTTCTTATTCCAAGCTGATGTTAAAACCAACTGCTGTGTGAAACACTCGGGGAGAAAAATGATACCAATTAGCCAAAATTGGTCCAGACAGATAACCTCACAGAGAAGTAGGACGACATCATGTGAATACAGCAGACAAATGGGTGGTAGAGGCTAAATCTAAACCTGGGATGGAAAAACATCGGATGCACAAAGAATAAGAAGGAATGAAAAGTGGATTTCTAGTGTGAAGTTAAGAAAGTGGTGAATTACAGTGAAAAAGTGGAACCTTTTGGAAGGTGAGAACACCCAGTAATGCCTTAATTTACCATTGATACAGTGAAGATTAGGGAGGCGACAAGAAGCATTTCCTTCTACAACACGATTTGATCCAGCAATGAGTTGAATAGATTTACGCGACCACAAAACCACAGCCGAGGATCAAGGGCATTTGTAAAATGTAGACACAGAGTCTTCTCAGGTGTTTTTTTTTTCCAGACCCAAATGAAGGGAAGTTGGGAGGTAGTGGTTACTAGCCCTGTTGCACGTCCACCATGACCTCAAGTCAACCTTGTCTGACCCCCATGCACATAAAACACACGCATGATCGTTATCGCTTATGGAGACATTACCACAGACTGGATGACTGACGTGCGTTGTACAAACACATGACCCCACTACTTAACTTTGTGGAGAAAAACAACAAACCGGTTTCACGCGGAGAACATGGACTGTTTTGCAGGTGAATCGGTTATTCCGGAATTTAAAGCTCCACCTTTGTGCTACCGTTAGGCGGTATAGCCTCTGAGCCATGCCAGTAGACCCCAGTCCTTCCGCCCTTCTTCCTAGTACTATGACTCCTTTGGAATTCAGGAAACACTGAGGGCAGAAGAAAGCGAACCCAGTCCTAAAGGACAACCAACATCTTGTCTGTTATAAAATGCGAAGCGATGACGTGAGGGAGGAGGGACATGTGATGAGGCCGAGAGAATCTGTAACGATCCCTTACAAAAGGGTAAAAATGCCGTTATCGTTCGGCGAATATCCCACTTCCGTGTTCTGCAGGAATGTTACTAGCAAATAAATCTACATTAGTTTTGAACAATTTGAAAAGTTTTCCTCACAGACCTGTCTACGGTACCTGCATGAAGATGTCAAATAAGCGAACATGCGATACCTCCTCCTCCATCCCTCCACTAGCTGAATGGAACCCTGATAGCTGTGACAGCATAGCACTGAATTGAGAACAAACTGACAAGAAGGAATTCCCGCGAAGCCTTTTTTAACTCCTGTCCATTGTTTCCTGACCGCTTTTAAGCTAGCGTTCCAACGCCTAACTGTGGACACGCGTGATGGCCAGCACATTCCTCCAATACGATTTCCGTATAGGACGAGACTCTGGAACTAGTGGAATTGACAAGAAAGGTTAGTGATATTGCGGTCAAATATTTTCTCAGTTGTACGCGAATTCTATGACTGACGCAGCTAATTCTTGATCGTTTCTTCTTAGAGTACCCACTAAGCTGTGGCGGCCGACACGGGGGTTTGACCAAGAGGAGCACCTGAGACGACACTCAAAAGGGGAGGGAGGGGCTAGGTAATACTTCAGCAGTTTGTTTAACTCTTTGTGTTGGTTTCGCGGCCACTTAAAGCCCCACCTTTTTAATTTCGCTGTGTGGCATGACCCCCGCCTTGTCACGCCAGTAGCCCCCAGACCTTCTCTTCGTCTTTATTCCGCTTCAGGGAAGTTTCAGAGCACCACACCAATGCAGTGGTTGGCTATTTGTTTAACTGTGGGCACTTCAGTCGCCGATATGCGGAGTGTCCTTCAGGCTAGGCTTATTGCCACCAGCGTCTACTGTGCGTTAGTAAGTAGCGTGTTCTCTCCTACAACAGCTTATTACAACTTCTAGGACGACTCGGGGTCCTTAAGCTAAAATGGACTCAGGAGGTCAACGACATCATCTCGGTTAATATAGACAGCAGTACTTTAAAGTTGAGGAATGATGTGTTGATATTGAGGTGTAAATAATATTAACTTGGGATTCGTATCGTTACCTGGGGAAAAATATTGGAATCATATACAAGTACTTTGAAGAAACATGGTGTATAGATACAGCTGAACTAGGAAGAAGACGCACATAAAATCATCATTAAGAATGGTAGAAAGACAAATGCTTTAGTTGCATTCAGAAGGGGCTATTTTGACCGCCACCGCCTTGGTACTAAGCTAGAGCAATCGGGCAGATTGGATTTTAGGCATCGAGGGAGGAATTTGCCACAGCCGGTTGTCATTCAACGCAGGTACAGAAATTTGACATTCCCACCTTAATGTCAGAAAAACTCGTACCATCTGTGACTACCATAGCTTGCGTGTTATGGATGCCGCTTTTGCGTTGTGCCTTGGGTAATTTCACCATCAAATTGCAATGAAGGAGGCGATCCCACTACCACTAGACAGTCGTCAAAACACTTAACAAGTATTGTCAGAAATTGTCAAAGATTGTAACTGATATTGTTTATTAGGAGGCTCTTATATTCTTATCTGGACCAAACGTCACAAATATGTGACATGTGAGCTTTTTTATTTCACTTTAACCCATTGAAACTAATCATATTTCAAACAGATTATTTGAGTTTAAAGTACAAAGAGGGCTGTAATATGCTCTTGGTCAGGGGGTGACTAAGTCTTTCTAGCTTCCATCTTTTGATCAGTCGATTTGGCCACAGCAAGTGTTGCCATTAAAGCCTCTGGACTGCGGTAGCTGCTTTTCTTCTCCAGCAACTCAGCAGTAGAGGATGAACTAATTAAGTGTCAGTTAACTAAACCCTTTAAAAGAAAACTGAATAAATGCAAGATAATGTAAACACTGCTAGGCCTTGACGCTCCCGTCGATGTTTGTTTGTGTGTGTGTGTGTGTGTGTGCATCCTGAACATACACCAACACGATGACCTTTATATAAGGAAGTGATTTAGTCTACCCAAAGAACAATTTTGCATAAGACTATTTATTTAAAGCAACTGACAGAAGCGTATTTTGAACACCATACTTTTTTTATTTGCTTGAAACAAGTTCATCCATTCCTCCCCCCCTCCCCCCCCCCCCCCCGACTTAAGTAGCACCGGTCCCCATATCAACTAAGACATTTAAGA